GTAGGGCCTCACCTCACCGCCAGCTGTCCCCACAGCCAGGCTTAGAATCCCATTGATCTGGAAAGAGCTCGTTCCCTTCCTGATAACCCAGGGCTGGATGGATGGGGCATCGGCTCTGCAGGCAGTGGGACATTCACATGGCCCTGACATCTGCACACCCTGAGCTCTACCCCAGCCATGGGAGTACGGGGGCCACAAGGTCACTGCGCATCCCCAGCATCTCCAGGGGAGTCAGTGCTACAAAATGTGGGGCTGGGAGCTCTGTGTGGCTGCGCAGGCCACAGCGATGTATCGGGGACTTTGAGAAGTCCCGCGGCACCCCACAGCTCTACAATTAGTCACGGTGGGGTCATTAAAGCCTGGCAGGTGCAGAGCCTCAGGTGCGCGGTGCTGAAGGGGTCGGCTCGTTTGGTGCGGGGTGCAGGGATGGCTGGGGGCTGCTCGTGGTGGCTGCGGCTAGGAAGTGCCTGGCTTTTCCACGGATTGCGGAGGTGAAGCATTAACAGACGCCGGGGGGCTGCTCCCCCCATCCCTTCGCTGCGGGATCGGGTGGTCCCGGCGGGGGCGGCGTTTCCCCGGGGGCGCCGCTCTCGGTGGATGGGGGTTGCCGTAGTCCGTTCTTTTCCCCTCTTCCGGGACCGAGAGCGGAGCGGGGCTGGGGGTGTCGCCCCGGGCGGGCCTACGCGTGCGGCGCGGGGCGGGCGGAGGGCGGGCCGCGGCGGGGCGGGGCGGGGCGGGGCGGGCGGAGCGGCGGCGGCCGAGAGCAGCGGCGGAGCCGGTGAGTGCCGGTGCTGAAGGGACAGCGCCGCCGCTGCGGCACCGGGCGGGGCGAACCGCATTCACCGGGGGAGGAGTGGGAGGGAGGGGGGGTCCCGCGGTCCCCCGGCGGTGCCGCGTCCCCGTGTCCCCTGCGGCCGCGGTGCGTCCTCCCCCCCGTCCCGTGTCCTCCGTGTCCCCGCGCTCCCGCAGCCGTTGTGTTCCCCGCATGTCGCGTTCTTCCCTTCAACGCGTCCTCCGTGTCCGCTCGCCCCCCGCGCGCCCCAACATCCCGCGGTGCCCCCGCGCTCTCCATCCCGTAGCACCCGCGTCCCTCTCCCCGCGTTTTCCATATACCCTTTCCGTCCTCGGTGTCCCCTACGCACCCTCCCCCGGGCGCAGGAGGGAACAAACTTCCCCGGCGCCCCCCCCCCCCCCCCCCCCGGCTGGAGGGTGTCTCCCCATCGCCGGGAGTCCCGGGGAGCTGGGGGAGATCCTTGGGGCTGTGGCACCCATTGGGCACACGCACGCTGCAAAGTGCACACGCAACATCAGCACAGCCCTCGCCCACGCACAGGGCACGCAGGGCGCGCACACACACACACAGAGCACTCCTACATGCACACGCAGTGCACACGCAGCCTGCAATCCCACCCGCGCACACGCAGCATGCCAGCAGCCTGCAACACCCCCACACACACAGCACAGGCTGCAAAGCAGTGCGCACACACACCCCCTGTTATACACACACCCAGCATGCAGCCCACCGGTGTGCAAACACATTCACCCAGCACGCAAACACAACCTGCACACCTGTACACACACGAGCGCATGCACACACAGCTTGTGAACCCACAAAATCACATGCACAAACCTTGCAAGCAGCCTGCAACCCCCCGCAGTGTGGCCACACACAGCTCCAACCCCACGAATCTGTACACATGCATACGGCCAGACATATACACAGCTCTGTGAATGCACCTCCTGTGCACACACAGCTGCACAGCTGTGCAAACATGCATGGAGCTCACAAACACAAACACACATGCCTGCAACCCCAAAGAACAGTCCCAACCAACCGGCAGCCTCTTCTCCACCCACCCGCAGAGCCCAAGCACCGCAACACACGCACATGCACACAGGGTCACATTGTGCTCCCCAGGCTGGCTCTGCCCCCACCATGCAGGGGGACGTGCTGGTGGCAATGTGGGTGCCTCTCCAGTGGTACTCAGTGCTCCCGTGCCCGTGCCACTCTGTGGCGGGCAGCACCAGGCTGGGAAATCCACCCAAGGCCGAGTCTCTGTGTGCCAGGGCAGTGCAGACCCCAGGCTTGGCATCCCCGACTGTGTCCCTCTCTCTGTGCCCAGGTGGCCCTGGTCGGAGAGCCCGGATAGCAGTGGATGAGCGCTGGGCACTGGCATAGCCACACGCACACACCGGCACCATGGACTTTGTTATGAAGCAAGCACTGGGCGGTGAGTGGGGAGCATCTCCACTGGGAGCAACACTGTGGGGTGACAACACACCCAGCATGGAGTCGGGGAGGGCCACCGCGGGGGAACAAACGGCTGCCAGAGCCCTACAGGGCTCCCGTCAGTGGTGCCGGCAGCGCCTGGCGGGGGAATCCCGGCTCTCCCGGTAGTGTGGGATTCCCCAGCAGGTCCCCTGGGTGCCAGTGCTTGAGCTGCCAGCGTCTCCCCCGGCTGACGCCGAAGTAGGGCAGTGCTGGCAGCCCGCGGCGCTCCCCATCCCTGCAGCACCCAGAGCCCAAGCACAGCCGGCTGTGGCGCGGGTGGCACAGGGGATCAGGGGACCCGGGCTATACTTGCAGGCTGGCTCCCTGCCCAGTTTGTCTTTGTGGAAGCTGAGGCCCCCTGGGCACTGTCTGAGAGCATCATACTATGCAGGGGCCACCAAGGACATGGGCAAGATGCTGGGGGGCGAGGAGGAGAAGGACCCTGATGCGCAGAAGAAGGAAGAGGAGAGGCAGGAGGCACTGCGCCAGCAGGAGGAGGAGCGGAAAGCCAAGCACGCCCGCATGGAGGCTGAGCGGGAGAAAGTCCGGCAGCAGATCCGTGACAAGGTGGGCAAGCAGCTCCCCATGCTGCTGGGGGGATGGGAGTAAGAGGTGATGGGTGTCGGGTACAGCACGGGCACTGTGTGCTGCCCGCCCCACTTAGGGCCTGTGTCCCCTCAGTATGGGCTGAAGAAAAAGGAGGAGAAGGAGGCAGAGGAGAAGGCAGCACTGGAGCAGCCATGTGAGGGCAGCCTGACGCGCCCCAAGAAAGCGATCCCTGCAGGCTGCGGGGACGAGGAGGAAGAGGAGGAGGAGAGCATCCTGGACACCGTGCTCAAGTACCTGCCCGGCCCGCTGCAGGATATGTTCAAGAAGTAACAACACCACCGACCCTGCCATGGGGTTCTGGGGCACGGGCGCCCTCCTCCCTCCCTCCCCTCCATCAGTTCCCTTGGCCCCAGGGGGGTCCCTGCATCCCCTCTCCATCTTCTGTCCCTCCCTTGTCCCCTAACCAGACCAAACCATCCCATCCTGTCCAGGCAGGGCCCCCTGACCACGCCGTGCCAAAGGGGAGCGTCCCTGGCCGGACAGGGCGAACCGGGACCAAATGCACTGATGTAACCTGGCAGTGGGCTGGGGGCACCCCACGCCCCACTGGACCCTGGGGCAGCTCCCCGTGCCCTCAGCCCTGCCCTTCTGCCCACACCCTCCCCTCACCCATCTGCCAGGGGGCCCGGGCAGGCCCTCCGTGTGCCCGCCCTTGTCCCCAGCACTGCCATCCCCAGCCCCATCCTGCCCCGGGCCAAGCCCAAAGCACAAAGCCAGGCGCCCTGCCCGCAGCTCCCCCATCCCTGATCCCCGGGCACGGGGGTCCCCCGGGGCTGCCCGGTGTGCCGCAGCATCGGGGGGTTGGAGGGGACCCCCTTCCCGCATCTCTGGCCCCATAGTTAAAGCCATATCAGTTAGACTGCAATACTTCAGCACCGGGAGGAGCAGGCGCCGCGCTCCGCCGACCGTGTATAAAGGCGCGTGCGGGGCAGGGAGCCCCCCTGCCTCGTCCCCCTGCCCCGTCCCCACTGTCCCCACCGCTCGCTCGTCCGTGTCTCGGCCCCGCTGGCCCCCGTTCTCGCATTAGTGTCTGTGTGCCAGGGTGCGCCCCGTTGCTCCATGCGTCCTCGTGTCCGCTGCTCACGCCTCAAACCCCAAAGCCCCGCAGTTCCCGGGGCCGCCCGCAGCGCTGAGCCGAGAGCCCCGTGCCCGTGGGTTGCAATAAACCCAGTACGGGGCTGGGGGCTGCAGAGCCTCTCCCGGGCTGCCCCCCCCGGCGCTGGGCACACAGCTCCCATGGGCAAAGCTGCCCGGGTACATCCCAGGAGCTGCTGCTTGCGTCCCAACAGGGGGCATGCCATCGCCCCGGCCCGTCCCTTGCCGTACCGTGCTCCTGTCCTCCCTACCCCCATGCTTCCCCCGCCACAGCCCCCAGCCACTCAGCCCTGCCCTTCCAGGGAGGCAGAGGGCAGCTCGGGGCTTCGCAGTCATGCTGTGATCATCCTGCTCGAACTAGTCTTTGACAAACTAATAAAATAAAGGGATTTGTACATTGCTCCGGCCTTTTCTCAGCCCTTACTTCCCTGTCACCCTCCCCACCGCTCCATCTCCCCCCAGGGCTGAGACCTGGCCACTCAACACACTACCGGAGGGCACAAGGTTCATCCTCAGCCTGCATGGCACCCAGAAGCCAGGCCACGGGTGAAGAGAAAATCTCCATAGTTCCCCAGCGCTGCCCTCAGCCCAGCTGCCTCCTGTTCCCCAGTGCCCTCAATGGAGCTGGGACAAGGCAAAAGGGTTCTGCAGCCCATCCTGCAGACCCATGGGTAGGGGAGGCCCTTCCCCATGGCTCTGGGACTTCCCCCATAATAACTGGAGTCACCCACAGGGTGCAAGGGCTCTTTTTCTAGACACAGCCTTCTGGGGCTGAGGCTGGGGGTACCTCAATCCCAGTTCCCCCCAAAAATAGGGGCAGATGCCAGGGGTACACACCAAGCAAGGGGTGCCTCACACCCCTCAGCCAAGCACAGCCCCTGGCACTGCAATCCTGATGCAACACAGCTCAGAAGGGCTCTGCCTGCAGCCAGCCTCAGCTTCGACTGATTTGCCATCATTTAACAGCAAAAAGCTCAGCTGTTACCCAGGCGGCATCAGCAGTGCAGTCACCTGGAAAAGCCTCTGTCAGAAGGAAATATTAGGCTAAGAAATGATAGAGATCGTGCGGGCAAGGTCTCCATCACAGGCAGGTTGCGCCAGCACCTCCTCTCCAGTGAGTGCCTGCAACGTGACCCAGCGCACGGTGGGGAAGAGCCCCGCTCTGCTCCCCTGGGGGCAGGGAGGCACAGGGACAGCTCAGCCTTAGGCCAGCAGCCGTGGGTCAAGCAGGTGTCTTCTGCTGCCACCACGGCCCCGCTCCATTCGTGTAGGTGCTGCTAGCTGGAGCAGGGAGGGCAGGGCTGGGTTACGGGATGGGGACAGTTGTGCGTGACTGTCCCCATCCTCCGAGCGGCATCCCTTCAGAATCTTGTCCCCAGCGTGGGGGCACAGCGCCCTCTGGTGGGGCGACACGAGACGGGGACGAGGCCTCAACACGGACCCCTGCCAGTGGGGCTGACCCACTGCCGCACCGTGCTGGCAGTGGAAGCGGCCGCTCAGCACCATGCTCCTTTCCCTGCTCATCTCCTCCTGCTCTCACAGCAGCTCCAGGAACCTTCGTTATGGAAGAGGATTTATCAAAATTATAAAAACAACCACAAATACAAAAAAAATGCCACAGCCCGGGTGCACGCCCCCACACCTTCCCCTTGCTGCCCCTCTGATCCTCTGCACAGGAAAGGGACAGGCCATGCTCCAGGGCTGCCCTCACCACCGGGCTGTGGGGGAGGATGGAAGGGACAATCACATAGCTCACTGCTGCTGGGGAGCCTGCCGCTGGGGCTTCCACACTGCTGCCCTGGAGCAGCATTCTCATCTCAGGAGGCCCCTTCAGCAGTCCCATTCCATAATTTTCTTTGGCCGCTTGCCTTTGGAACAGACCTTCCATGCCCCAGGGATGAGGCAGCCCTGAAATGGTGCGGGAGCCCTGCTGGCACCCCCATCCTCACCAGCACACAAGCTGCCTTTTACAAAAGCTTCTGAGAGCAGCACACGTGGAGCTGAGAAAAGGCGATGGCAATGCCAAGCAGGTAAGGAGAGGACCGACATCCTTACCCCGTCCTATGCTAACTAAGCTCTCTTCCATCCCTGAGGGTGGGGAAGTGTCGTGGACCCTCGTGCCCTGCCCTGCTGCAGTTCCATTAGGAGTCATTGGGGAGCCCGAAGAGCTTGACAGTGCCTGCTTCTCGGCTGCTGTCGTATTTGCCATCTTTGTCGTCACAGGCGAAAGCCAGCAGAGGCTTCTTCGGGTGCCAGGCCACTGTGAAGGTAGGGGACTCGCACTGCACCTCCCAGAGCTTCTCTCCTGCACAGAAAAGGGCCCACATCAGCCTGGAGAGCCTCCTGCTCTCCACTGCAGGCTGACCTGTAGCACAAAGCAGAGCTAAACACCTGCCTCTTCCCTCCCACGCAGGGCAGAGGAGGAACAAACGCTGCTCCAGCGCCTTTTAATCTCCTGGTGACAAGGCATAGACATGACATGCATATCTACAGCAGTCTGATGAGGCAGAGGCTCCCCCTCTTGGTGCTCTGCTGCACACAGCGAAGCTCTTGGTAAGTAAACTGCCTCTTCCAGTGCCCTCCCAGCTAAATCAGCGCATCTCTGTCAGATTCCCTCGTTACTGCTCCCCAAAAGCAAACCATTACCTGTCTCCACCTCTGCAATGTCAATGAAGTGATCCTCTGATGCCGATGCCAGCATCTTCCCATCATGGCTAAAGCTCAGTGTTCGCACAGGCCAGTCAAGCCTGCAGCAGTAGAGCAAAGCAGACAGTGAGGGATCCCCCAGACAGTCACTGGAGAGGGGAGCAAACTCCAGGACAGCACTACCTACCTGGAGAAGCACCTCACACACACCAGTTCATCCACATCCCAGAGGCTGACTAAAGCATCAGCGCTGCCTGTGGCAAAGTACTTCCCCATGGGGTCAAACTTGATGCAGATGCAGTTTGAAGGATGGGCGTTGATGGACTGGATGGGTTTGAGTTCTGGGTAGCTGTGGAGATGAAGAGAGAGGGCAGGAAGCAGTGAGAGAAGCACAGAGCCTCTATGAAAAGAGGCCAGGGGTGAGACATGCCGGGACCAGGTGTGAAACAAAACAGTGCAGGATGACTTTGCTGGAAACTTTAAGTGTTAAGTGAACAAGGAAAAGCATCACAGTCCAGCCCAGGAATGGGGCAACTTCCTTCCAGGCAAGCTTGCTCCCATCATAGTGACTGGGAATCACTGGGATGTGGGACTCTGGCTCCCCAAAAGCAGCAGAGGGGTTTGCAATCTGCCTCAGCAAGCAGCGATGCACCAGGGCAGCCAGCCTTGGTACCCTACTCACCACAGGCACCCACCTGAGGATGTTGATGCAGCCATTCCCATTAGTGAGGAAGAACATGTTGTTATCGTTGTTCCAGGAGATCTCATTCACCTCAAACTTGAACTGTTCCTCTGCTTTGGAGCGATGCGTCTTTGCGTCAATGAAGGTGACAACATCATCCTTGTTCCCCACTGCAATGGTCTGTCCATCAGGGCTCCAACAGATGTTGATGTTCTCCCCTAGAGGGACAGAAAAGCAGCAGGTCCCATTGCCACACAGCAGTTTGCAAGAGCCACAGCATGTCAAGCAGACAGGAGGCTTTTATTTCTGATTCGAGGCCACGGTGTGCTCCACTAACTCTGAATCACTCCCAGATGGGAAGAACTGCCAGGTCTGCAATTTAACACTGAAACTCTGCACTGAAAATTAAACTGAGAACTGTAGCTTCAAGTCACTAGGACTGCATTGCTAGCCTTTCCGTTTTAGACACAGCAACCACCAAGCAAGGTCGTATCGAAAGACCCTCTCAACCCAGCAGTATCCAGAAAATCCAACAACCAACAGCACGTGCGTGTGAAGGAGGGGAGGCCCAAGGAATGCTACAGATATATCACCTTACAACTCTATTCTCAACCCCAACTGTTGGAAGACAGAGATTTCTTAGGCCAGAGATGCTAGCTGGGCTGGTCAAACCATTAATGTGAATGGTTGCTTTATGAATCCATGTAAACTCGGACCTCTGCCACGTCTCTCTCTGCAAACACACGTTCCCCAGCCTCCAGCCTTCTTGCCCACAGACTCCAGACAAGTTCCCATGGCCCTTTTAACAGCCACCAGCACAGCTCAGCAGTGCCTCCAGTCCTGACACCAGCATAAAGCAGACCTCGTGCTCGCTGTGCTCCTTACACCAGCTGAAGCTGGCTGAGTGCGATACAACACCAGAAGCAGTACGCAAAGACCCCTCAATCACCAGCAGCAATGGAAGGGCTGTGTCACCGACCCCCGGGGAGGCAGGGACCCACCTTTGGTGTTGACGGTGGCGATGCACTTGGTGGTGCGGACATCCCAGATGCGGATGGTTTTGTCCCCGGACGCAGTGACAAAGAGGTCGGGGTTGCTGGGATGCCAGCAGAGCTGATCCACGCTGTCACCGTGGCCGCGGTAGTTGTTCTCTTTTACCTGGAGAAAGAAGAGAGCTGTGCCTCCACCCCTGGAGGTGCCCAAGGCCACGGATGGAGCCCCGGGCAGCTCGAACGAGGAGGTGGCGGCCAGCCTACGGCGGGGCTCGGGGGCTTTTCTGGGCCCTTCCAACGCAACCGTTCCATCACTCAGCGGTGCCGGCTGGCAGTCCTGCCCAGCATCCCGCTCCCATTTCCCTTTCTCCTCCCAGTTTCCTCGCCCGGTCCCAACTCCCAGCTCCCAACTTGCAGCTCCCAGCCCCACCACACCCGCTCCTCGCCCGGCGCAGCCCGCAGCCCCGAGCGCTGCTCCCGGCCCGCTCCCGCCGCTCACCAGCCGGTCCTTCTCGAGCAGGAAGACGCTCGCGGTTTTATCGAAGGATCCGGACGCGAGGCGGCGGCCGCAGCAGCTCCAGGCCACGGAGTGAACCTTGGCGCCGTGCGCCGGGAACTCGCGGCTGCGCGTGTTGGCGCGGAACAGCTCCTGCATGGCCTGCACGTAGGGCGACAGCGCCATGCCCGCCCCGCCGCGCCGACACCGCCCGCCCCGCCCCGCCCCGCCGCCCTGACGCAGCTTCCGCCGCCGCGGCACGGCCCGGCTCGGCCCGCGGAGGGCGCCCTCGGCGGCGATGTCGGACGGCGCCGTCCTGGTCTGCGATTCGGACTCCGAGGGCGGCCGCTCCCCTCCGCCGCCCCCCGCGGTGAGTCTGCGGCCGGGCGCCCCGCTCCCGCACGGAGCGCTGCGGTTCTGCCCTGTCCTCGGGCTTTTGCCGCGCGGAGTGCCGCTCTCCCGCCCCGTCCCTCGGGGCCGCAACCCCCGGCAGACCGGAGGGGGCAGAACGCGGGGCGGGGGGTTGCCGGGCGTCCGTCGGCCGCTGTTCCGCGGCAGTTGTTGCCCGGTAACGAGGGGACGCGCCGAGCAGCGGCCCCGCGGGGCTCCCCCGGAGCGGGCATCGGGGCCGGGCTGCACACGGCCTTCCCGAGGGAAGGCAGAAGGCCTCGGGCAGGAAAAATGGATTGAAATTGGATTTCTTGCACGTCTTTACAAAAGTTTCCGCGGTGTCCCAGCTGTGCTGCCGTGCGATGGATGTGAAGGTAGTGCTGGGCCCAGGGGAGGCTGGGGGAGCTGAGGAGAGCAGAGAAGAGCACGGGCCGGGCTGTCAGCGGGGCACAGGGCTGCCCCAGCCCCGTGGCCAGGCTCCTGCTTTACTCTGAGTGTTCACCGGGCTGCTGTCCTGGGTGAGCAGGGGAGGACTGAGGCACCCAGCCGCTATCCTTGCTCACACCACTGACCCTTTTGTCCCCACAGGAGATCATCGATCTCACCCAGGAGGACACAAACTCAGAGCCGTTGCCATGGAACTACATCCCCATCATTGACCTGACGAAGGAGGACACCTGCAGTCCTCCCCCTGCTGCAGACTGTACTGTCCAGGACCAGGTGTCTGCTTCCCCCATCGTACACACATCCCATCCCCAGCTTTGCTTCAGCACAAAGCAAGAAGTGGAGACGAGCCCAGAGCTGACCCCTGTAGCACCCTTACATGGCTATCCCACACAGCCCAGTACTGCCACAGGCACAGCAGTAAAAGTGGAGAACAAGAGCAGCTTCTCTCCTGTCTCCAGCCACCGCAGCTCCTTCTGCAGCCTGGAACCAAGCTGCAGCACCACCACATACAACACTGACTCGAGCTCCCTGGCCATCATGCAGCTGGACCAAGTGCTGTTCTCACCATCCCCCTTCATCTTGGACAGCAATGGCAGCAAACATGGCATAGAGGAGACTCCCCCTACTTCCCAGCCAAGGAAGCTCCCCCCAAGACTGAGCCCCGCTCCAGCCAGCATCACTAAGAGCCCACGAAGGACCAACGGGACTTTTCTGGAAGCAGGTGGCTCACAAGAAGCAATCCAACAAGTGACCTCAGGCAGGACTAAAGCTGACAGCATGGTCTGGCTAAACAAACTGCGCTATTTCAGGAGGAGCGGAGTCCAGCACCTCTTCTTTTATGGTGCAGCATCTGACAGGGAAACACCACAGGTAAATGGGTTCAGAGCAACTCCTGCCCAGCCCGGTCCATTCAGAGCAGTTCTTGTGGCAGAGGATGGAGCACGGGCTGCCCCTGCTCCTCTTCCCCTTTCAGGGGAAGCTTTGCCAGGCCATTGGGATCTCTGGTTATTGCAGTTCTCTTAATGGTGGGCCTCAAATCACAGCTAGGTTCCTCTGTACCACGGGGAGCTGGCTTTCACTTGTTGCCCGTTGTCTTGCACACAGCAGAAACCCAAGCTCATCCCCAGCAGTAAGATGAGCATGGTACGCACCACCATGGAGGAGAACTTCTTGGAGGGAACCTTGCATTTTCTGAGTGACTTCATCTCCTGCCAGCACTGCCCTCCCAAAGAGATCGTCTCCCATCTGCTCAGACAGATCCTGTTGAACTCTCAGCAGGAGGAGATCCTCCAGAACACCTACACATTGCTGATGAAGATCCAAATGTACGTGTTCCCTTTGCCACCATGCCCTGGGGCTGGCTAGGTGCCCAGTATAAGGGTCATCCTGTGTAGTTCTCACCAGAGAACAGAGTAAGTGTCCCTGTAATGCATGATGGTCCTCTAGCCTGCAGTACAGGCTAGAACAGCTCTCTGCTGTGCTGCAAACAGGCAGAATGTGACATGAGGCCACAGGTGTGCCAGTGCTGTTCATAGAGTACAGCCCATCAGGTGCTTCCAAAAATCTGACACGGGAGGAGAAAGGAAGAAGGCAGAGCTGAAAAGGGGACAGCAGCAAGCAGACACGGGAGGCAGAAAAGGGAGGTTTGGGGTGCGGGCTGCCTGACCTCAGGGCAGCCAGTGTGGCAGCTCAGCACAAATAGATGGTGCTGTTCTTGCAGGCTCCATCCAGCCAACACCACCACAGTAGGATGGGACTGGACGCTGCTGAAATACACCATGGAGAGCCAGGTACTCAGCACTGCATGTGTCACATTAGGCAGGGATCACCCAGTACCTGGTGCTTGCCCCATAGCATCACCTGGCCTTGCTCTGCTGCACAACAGCTCAGTCTAATGTGCAGTTCTATTGCAGCTGAAGGCAGCAAGTGTTTTTATCCATGGTACTCCTTAGCATGCTGTACAACTGCAGGCAGGTTGACGAATCTGAAGAAACCACAGCAGCAGACAAAAGCATTTTGAACTGGAGCAATACGTGAGAAGCCCAAGTCAAACAGCCCCAGCTGATGCCCTGGGGCACTGCTGAAGCCATGCAGCCCCACTTAAAGAACAGATGTGCTATTCCTCAGTCACATACATCACCCCATTCCCAAAAAGCCACATTCCCTGGTGTTCTTTGCCCTGCAGCTCCATCAGGCTCACAACATCTTTATCTGCCCTCAGGAGAAGCTCCCTGGACGACTCCTCTTCCTACAATATGTGGTGCAGACCTTGGAGGATGACTTCCATCAAAACGTGAGGCTGCTGCAGAAGTCAATAAGCAAGAAAGTGCTTTCCTGTGATACATGCTTCAACAATGTCAAGTAAGGGACGCGTCCTCCTCTCCTGTACTCTAATTAGCTGCAGAGAGGCAGGAGCTTATGGAATGTTTGTTGAGACTCAAGTCCAGACTTTTCAAGAAACAAGCTTCAGAAAGTGTAGGTAGGGGCTAGCTATAAAGAAAATGAGCATGCTTATGACCATAAACAACCACAAACAATACAAGGGCATTATCAGTCACAAGCATACTTTTTTTTAAAAAAAGGCTGTCCAATCAAGACATATCCTTCTTCCTCAGGGTCTTTCTCCAAGCTCTAAGTGGAGCTGGAGGTCAGAACACAGCAAAGCCAGGCCCGTCTAACATTCCTGTGTCTGTCCCAGGGAGGTGGTTGAATGGTTGGTTGCAGTAGTGACAGGAGCCAGATTCTTCCAGCTGCAGGAGCAGACACAAGAAGTGACACGCTCACCAGCAGGAGCTGAACGTCGCTCACCTGCAGCACAGCCAGCCAGCACTGACCAAGCACAGCTGACTCCACCAACATTCTTCGCCCAGAAGTAAGTCCCACAAATCCTGGCTCCCTGCTGATGATAATATGGGGTTCAAGTCAGAGAAGCAAGTCCATCCTCTGGCTCTATCTTACCAAGGAAGAGAGGTTGTACCTGTGGTCAGCTTTCCTGGCATTTTCCTCTAGGGCAAGTAAAGACTTGGGGAGCAAGAGACTTCCTTGCCTGGCAGGAAGCTGGTTCACAGAGTGCTTTCCTCTTAAATCAGGCCAGAGCTCTCCGCCCATAGCCCAGGCTGCCCCACTAATGCTCAGTACACCCACTGAGACCTCCCTAATGTCCGTGTGGGAAATGGCTCTGCTTCCAAGAGCATCAGATTTAACGTACTCTAAGAGACAACACAAGGCTTTGTAGGAAGCAAACCACATGTAACCTGCTGCATTCCTTGATGATCCTAAGGCACAAGGCTGAACTAGCCACCTCCAGTGTTTAACTGTGCAAACCAACAGGTATTCTTTCACACTGTTGACTCTTTTTCTAACCTAGGACAATGCTCCTCCTCCAGCGGATGTTGTCCTTTGCAGTGGAAGTGGACAGATCTCCCAACTGCAGCTCCTGCAAGATTGCAGATCTAATATTCCCATTTTTACTGAATATTCCCACGAGGAGCCAAAGGTGAGCAATGTGCAAAGCAGCATCTCCTTTCTGGGCAGTAGTCTTAACTCCCTATTTCTGGGTTCATTAAGAAGTATGGAGCATAGAAAGACAGACTTGCTTTTGATCCAGCCAGCATGAACACAGCTGTAGGACTGAGAGATCCCATCAGTATTGCAGCTGATCCCCAGGCACTATCCCAGGCCAGTGTGATGCTGAGAAAACCGGTTCTCTCACCATAGAACTACAAGGAGGACTAAAAACCAGTAATCCACATCAGCACAGTCAAGTAGTAGCAAACACATCACTGATTCCCAGGGGCCAATGAGAAATACAGAAATACTCAAAATACACTTCCTACAGCACTACCTGGATGTGCTTTTGTTTGCATTGGTAAGAAGCACAGTATTTAAAGACAACACGCAGGGCCTGACTGGCTCTAACAGACATGAGACCACTAGGCCCCCAACTGTTCCAAACTCATGTTTGCCAATCCCAGCAAGCAGCCTGTTCACATATTTTTAGCAAAACTCACTCTGAGCACACACCAGTCTAAACAAGTCCAACTCTAACCAAGCTATCACTCATTGCAGGACAGTTCCTGTAGTTCACTGGCAGCTAATCCCACTTCACATTTGCTTGGCTATGCTCCCTGTGAGTCAGCAGGAATAGATAATTTCTGCATAGGATGCTGGGCAGGGTCAGGTGAAACATCTAAGCTTGTTTCACAGACCACACCAACCTCAGTTTGCAGCAGGTCAGATCTAAGGACTGGAAACATGCCCATAGTTGTTGCATAACAAAGGTTTCTGTCATACTGGTGGGTTTGCTTTAACTGTACAGCAAGGCAGACACTTCTGTCACCCACCCTTGTACCAGATCAGCATCAGCAGGAGACCAGGAACACACTGAAGTAGTTGTTGCAGTAGTTGTTGACAGGCTGTGCTGTCTCCACCAGAGTAAATATTTGCCTTGCAGGGAAGCCCTCTTGAACACTATGGAGAGCAACCTGCTGCGCTGCAAACTGCTGGAGATGATGTTCCAGCACAGTTGTGATGTGCCCACAAGCTTGCCCTTGTCTCTGTCCAAGATCCTCTACTTTTTAGGCCACTCCTCTGTGCTGCTGCAATACCAGGTAACCAGCCATCCTTCTCCCTTCTGTGGCATCTCCTGAGAAAACCACTCATAAAACCAAATACCATCTATTGTCACAGGATGAAGTACCTACGTGGCAAAAATGGGATGAGCTGCTGCACTACTTGAGCTTGCTGCTGCTGAGTTACCAAAATGTAATAGCAGGTAAGTAGCCTGATCTGGTCTTAATAAACAGAACAGTCCAAGGAATACTTCTTCATCTCATCGCTCTTGAGCTCACAGCCACAGTCTTAGAAAGATAATGTGCTTCCATTCTTGCTGGTAACTATTCTCTGCATTCAGAGCAAAGAAATGATAATGCATCATGCAGAGCACACAACACATTTAGCTGCTGAGAAATAGCCTACATCCTACAGCATCAACCCCAGCTCTGCAAAGCTGGCTGCAGAGTACAACTGAGCAGCACACACACTGGTTTAGAACAGGGTAGGGCAAGTAAAAAATATTTAAACATTCCTAAAAGCCTCTTGCCAACTTCTGCTTTACCAGGGTTAAGGCTCTCATAGATAAATGCACATTTGGAGCATTAAGCTCAATGAATCCTTCCAGGGTCCACTGGTCCAGTCTGGTACTAACACTGGAAGAGAGGAGCTATGTAGCCCTGCTCCCTCAAGGTTTCGCAGAGACTGTGTGCAGACTGAGCAGGAGAAATCAGTGCAAAGCTGAAGTATCAAGGATAGCCGTGAAAGACTTTGCACAGTTCCCTGCTGTTCTTCACCACAGCACAGTGCTGCCTAAGGGATTCTGCAGTCTGACCCTTAACAGGTCAGACAACCCGTTGTGTTACCTCCCCCAACAGCATTTCCTCTTGCAGAGCACCTACGGAGCTCACTCAGTGAGCGGGTGGACTTGATCATTAAGAAAGCCAAGCCCAAGCTCCAAGATGATGATGACATCAGCCAGCTGGACATCCACCTGAAGATAAAGGACTTTCTTAGACGAATGCAGCAGATCCTGGAGGAGCCCTTCCCTGTGCAGCTCAAGGAGAAAGTGAGCATGCTCAAAAAACTGTTTCTCACTGTCGCTGCTACCTGATGGAGCCAACCACTGTAGCAGGAAGGAAAGCTATGAATTCAGAGACCTGTCTCATACTGCACATTCCCATGTCATCTGTCCTGTTGTATGTTTGGGAAAAAAAAATACCTGGTTTCTAAGTCTCAGAATTTCCTTTCAAACTTGTCTCATCCTACAGTTTTACGAAGTACTTTGTATATCTTTGAAAAATAAATTACTTCTGTATTTATTGGCTCTTCCATCCTGGTGTCCTGTTTAAAAGACACAAAGCTCTGCTGCTGTACCTTGGAATGGCATTAGACTAAAGCAGCCATGAAGTGATGGTAGTTTGCACAGCAAGCACGATGCCAAGCTATTTGTTCAGTGCTCAGGAAAAGTTGACAATCTTCTCAAAAACATGGGTGTGGGATACAGGGAGAAGAGTCACAGTGCCAAGATCTCACACCTGTCAGTCCTCCAGGAATGAGCCTTTCTGTTGCAAATCAAACATCTACGTGACTTCAAGCAAGGTACCTCAGCCATGTCGAGATGGGACTGGACAAGCAGCACCCATTAGAAGGGCTGCACATCTAGAATGCTCTGAAGTATCTGCAGTGCAGTCAAGTACATACAGCCAAGAGCAGCACCGAATGCAAATCCAATGCCACCAACTGAAGTATGACTCAGCTGAGCTCAGGGAGCAGTTGGTACTTTCACAGACGGTCCCAAGTTCATCAGAAACAGACATTGATCTCCCTGCAAATGGGAGTAGGACTTCCATATCTGCCCATCACCCTTTGATCTGCCCCTGTGCTTGGCAAACCCTGGCAGCTCAGCCATTTTGCAGTGCATGCTCCAGAGAGCAGGATGAAGAGCCTTAAGAGAGCAGAGTGCAGGAGAACAGAGCTGCAGCGATGGCCAGGAATGCAGTAGTCCTGAAAGGAGCATTGAATGCACTGTAGATCCATGCACCCAGCAGAAGTCTGGCATCAGCCTAAAACTTCATAAGTTAGAGCCAGCCATGACCCTTGGCTCTTTAGGAAGCCTCTCTCCAAACACCAGGTGTGCAATGGGTGATCTGTTCTACATCTCCCTTTAATCCAGAGGTATGCCATCCGGGGGGAGGTGAAGTTGTGTTTGAAGTAACAGGCCAAAAGAATTTCCAACAGTGCAAACACCAAACGTTCCTTGCCCCAGGAAGCTGTTTCTCCTGCTTGATGTAATCAATTTTGATGTATTTTTTAGTTCTTATATTCCACTAGAAAAGATTTCTGCCATCAGGCTAGTATAGAAGTTGCTTTCCAGAAGGACCAGTTACAGATACTTCTTTCTGATACGCTGATGAGATCCAGGACAAAAATTCAAGCAAAGAATATCACACAAAGAACAGCCTTTTGCAACTAAACAAGATTAGTCTGCACAACTAAGACCTACAGCAGTAGACAAGACAAGACTATCCATGTGTTCAAAGTAGTATTGCTCTTTCAGCTCTGCAAACATTCAAAGAAAAACACGACATCAGTATTGAGCCCAGTCACCTCCAGTCCAGAAGAGATGTATGCTGTAAGTGCCACAGTACCACCCAAACCAAACAAAGGCAAAGGAAATGGACACCACCAAGCGCTGAGTAACTCTAGGCAAGAACAAACAACACAATCATCTGAATAGCTCAAGAAATACTAAGGTTTCATGCTGTTTCATCAGCAAAAAAGCCAAAAACAGGACTGAATCTGGCCTTAAACCTAGTCCCCCAGTCACAAAGGAGATTTACACAGTAAGTACTTTACCCCAGTGCATGTTACTGCAGCCATACAGGGCTGAGCCTTGACCCCACATTCGTAGGCCAGTAGCAAGCAGCCCTGTAGATACTGCATAGCCTGATTTCTTCCATGCATGCACTACCAATGCTAGTAAACAAAGACCTCATTTCACAAGGATTTTATTTTCTTGTAATAAACAAAAAAAATCATACACAAAGACATGACACAGACAATAAATTAACGTCAAATAAGAGATTGATTCCCAAGGTGCAAGTGACTGGTGGCAATAACTGCTCAGTTGAGTGGGAGATTTTCAATATCTGGCAGTGTTGTTGAAGCTTACGATGAAGCAGAGCCACAAAATACAGTTCTTCAGAGGGTACAGCAGATGGCCAAGTGAGCCAATCCTGCCTCACCCTCATGGATGGATGGCTGGAGCAGGCAGACACTGCAGAGCACAACTGCTACCTTAAGTCAACTCTGTGAGAAGTCCTCGTAACAGAAGAGCTTCACATGAGGGTGCCACTCTCCCCACTACAGAAAGCCTGCTTCTGGCTGAGGGCACTCTGCAACACAATCATGATGTCAAGGAAGAGGATGCCTGGTTGCCACAGGACAGGTAACGATCACACAGCAACGCTGCCTACAGTGCACAAGGGGACTGGATGGTAGCTAGGAGGTCCTCCCATTATTCATAAAAGTGTGAACTGTCTGTACTACTGAGTGAAGGAATTCTTCATCTTCCACTCTGCCTTCTGCCAGCCCTGCAAAACCTATTTAATGCTGATGAAACAAAACAAAAAAAGGGCTGCATTTGAGAAGTGCCACTGATGTCTAATAGACTTCTATACATGGTTCACACAAGATGCTAGAACAAAAACAATCAAGCCAGAGTGTCACAACTACTGTATGTCTGTTGTCTAGGACAGGCCAGGACAGTGTTGTTTTACACACAGAGAAGATCATATGGCTCAAGCCACACCAGCTCTGGTCATTCCCACCATTTTTAGAGGAACCTGAAGACTTGGAAGAGAAACAATTCCTCCTTATTACTGTCAGGTCCCGTTAGATTCTGCTCCCTGCCTTTCTAACAAGAGCATCTTAGAGCAGACAGTGCTCCACTCTTCTGAAATTAAACCAGGAACAAGTACTAGGTGAACTATGAGGTGACAACAGAAGTGAGCTGCACATTTAAAGCAGACTATCACGTGGCCAGAGTAGCTTTCCTCCTGGCATTCAGTGGTCCAGTTTTCGGTCCTTGCTTGTTTTCACCATTTTCTGTTGGTGTTCTGTAAACAACAGACAGAACCATGGTCCTCTTGAGGGTACTTCAGCATTGAGCATGACAAGACAGACTACAGGCAGACAAGCCAGCCTACTGCACACTACATGCAGTCCTCTCCCACAGAAATCAGTTCCAGGTTTTACTGCAGCACAGTGACTGGGAAGCACGTCTCCTAGTGCTGCAGAGCACACAGGACTAGTGTAGTACAGCAGAGAAGATGATTTACATTGGTTTAGTATGAGTGCAAGAGTTTTTCCAAGACCAATTCAGGCCTGAATTCAGGACAGTCACAGTTGTTTCCTTTTCTGAGATGGAGAGCTGGAAAGGAGATATTCCTATTTTACTGCAGCACAGTGGGTCAGGAAAGCAGAGCTTAAGATACCCTGTAGCCCATTGAGGACACCAGAACCACTCTTCCTAGAATCCAGTTGGAGTGAGCACATTCAGATCCCGAGGTTTGATATTGTGGGAATGTGAAGATTGTTTCCTCCCTTCTGTGACTGGAATGTCCATTTTGGGTGGCTTGAAGGTGACTGGATCCTCTGTCATTCTAGTAGCCTGGGCACGCATCAGCTCCATCGGGGATGGCTTCTGAGCACCCTTATAAGATTGGATGGTAAAGCCTCCTGATGAAAAAAAATCCCAATTAAAAGCTACAAAAACTAGCTGTGTCATTTTTCTACTCCCACCAGTACAGAGCATTGTACCACTGACAGCCAGATCTGCTGGAAGCCTACACTGTGCCAACCAGCCTCATGTCATCAAAAAGTTAGTCCACATCAAGGAGTGACACTTCCAGTTCTGGTTCCACCAGGCAGCCAAGAAAGCAGAAGAGCAAAAAAGCTGTCACCTTCACACTCTGCTTTTGGCACAGGTCCTGATATGAACAGCACACATTCCCAAGGTGAACAGAAATAGCTGGCAGTTTTGCTCTTTAACAATTCTCCCCTAGCTCTTGCTAGGGCAGACTTCAGAGGACATACCTGGATCATTGGTGGACTTCTGGATGGCTTTGGGTCCAAAAAAACTCCACCTTTCAGATGGCAACCTGTCCCCACCAGCTTCCATGGCAACAAAGTCTGGGGCAGTGATAGAAGCGGAGGATCCCTGACTAAACCAACCCCTAGAGGAACAAAAAAATCACTGAGATACAAAGAGAATCAATACTTCAGGTGGCATCAGTGCACCAGGAAACGTATATGTAGTTACCAGGAGCATGTTAAATAGATTTGCTACCAAGCAGGATGAAGATAGGCATGTTTAAGTTCCCTAACCTTTCAATACATTCAGTGATAATACAAACATACAGCAATTCCATGAATTTCACCCCTTAGACAGTCCCTCATCCCCACCTCAACAAGCTGCAGGAAAGCAGAGGAAATGATCTGACAGAAACAGCATACCTGCTTTTATGCTTGGGAGAGGAGTGGGGAGTACTGCTTGGAGTGGACTGAGCAGAAGATGTTTGTTTGTCATCTTTTGTCATTTCTCCACTCTGCATTTTTAGTTTCTGTTAGGAAAGGCAAGAGAAGCACAAGCAACAGATCTTAAGTACAAGGCATAAGGAACAAAGGTAGTTTTACTGTCAAAACTGAAATTAACTAACTCACCTCAAGCTACACACAGTATTGCAGTACTTGCACATACACGTTAAGCTTCCTTCCAAGTCACATACAAGCATTTCAGAAGTCCACTATGCTCAAGACATACTTCAAGCTACAGTAAGATAACATAACTCACTCTCCAGCTTAGAGTCTTATCAACAGCAGCACATTGCTTCAACACCAGCATTCACAGGAAGGTGCTTACATTGCAGCAGAGCTAGCTTACCAGGCACAGAACTGCTGCCTGCAGGGTGACAAGTCTCAGTGTCACAGCAGCCACTTGTCTAGAGCAAGAGCTTTCAGTTCCCTAAGCTCTGCAGTGAAGGGGAGACCAGCCCTTCTACAGAAATCTAGGAGAAGGAGAGCCTGAGAAGCGACCCACAAAAAAAGATGAAAGCCCTGCTCTTAGAACACCAAGTTGAGCTGCATTTAAAAAGCACGTTCAGTAAAAAAACAATATGAGAGGGGTGCACATGAGCCAGGCTATTACAACTCATGCAGATGGTACAAACTGAACCTCAGAGAAGTCACTTGAAGGGCAGTTATATTTCAAACACTGACGACACAGGCACCTTCTCTGAACATTTCCTGCAGCCATCCAGGCCTCGCTAACGCAATTCGCTGTTATTCAAACTTTGACCTTGCAGGAGAACACTTGGATGGCTCACTGCCGAACTGCAACTGCATGATTCCTGTGGGTAACTGAGCTCACCAGAAACACAGTAATCGAACACCTCCATCTTATTTCCAGTTAGAAGCAATTTCAATTTCATTTTCCAGTGTCCACACGAGAAACGCGAGGTTTACAAGTGCTCCACTTCTGGCTTGTTTCAAGAAACAGGCAACCTACACAGAACAGCACTTGTTTTGAAACCTTTCAATGGCACTGCAAAATTAGTTCAGCCTGAAGTCAAATAGAAGTTCAGACCTCCAACATCACTGTCCAAGCACACGGGAACTCCTGGATTCATTACAAGAGTCAAACGAGGCTTGGCATCACTCAAGCACCAGTGAACAGAGCTTTAAATTCAGATCCTTCACTGCTTAACCACTACAAACGTGATGAAGTACTTAAGTACTTTGCATCTTAAACACTGGAGGAAAGTAGCAGAGGAAGAGATGAAGGTAGTTCTAGACTAAGAAGATAAGCTTCGACCTGGAAGCTATGAATAGGACCTTTAGAATTCTCAAAACAAGCACATTAAGTTTAGATGTCAAAGGCCTTCTCTGCCATGCCCACACATTAGTGGTGCTCAGCACAGTAAGATCTGGGAGTGCTTCACACATCTAACAAACAGCTATGCTCTAAATTACATTTGCACAGAAGAAAAATGCTCAGGATAACTTCAATTTCTCTTTCTGTTAAAAAGATCTCTTCCAGTTCTTAAACAGAATCATATTAGAGACCAGTGCTTGATGTCAAAACCTGCCCTCAAAGCCCAGAAGGCATTTCTGTAAACTGTCCCTAGAGAGACAACACTAAGACAAAACAGTTCACTGAAGTACTGCAGGGCACCATTAAAAGGTACAGCAAGAAACTGGATTCTGTACAGAGATGCCACCAACTGGAAAACAGTGATAATCTGATGTTACTGTGGAATTCTGCAGTTTCCAGAAAAGCTCCAAAACTACAAAGGCTAATGCTAACTTCAAGATTTCAGAGGTTAATCTCCCTACACAATAAACTCAAAGCTTCCTGAGTAAGCAATTGAAGCACAGCTCCAGCAGCACAGCCCAAAAGCGACGTCGCAGACAAGCGCCGGGCTGCACAACCTGCAGGAACAGCCAAAGCAAAACGAGTCTTACGTGCACCGCCTCAGCCACACGGTGGTACTTCGTCTCCTCTGCAGTGAGGCCTTTGTGGGGGGTGTAGCCAGCATCTCTCAACCCTGCCTGCTGCTCAAAGCGCTGGATGCTCTCCTGAGTCTGCTCTGCAACCAACAAGAGCACATGTTGGCAGAGAAGAACCCCGCTGACAGTTGTAGCAAACAAAGACAACTGAAGTGGCCAAGAGGCAGACATTTCATCATTTGTCCCTGCGTATCGCAGAACCACCCAGCTTGGAAAAGACCTTCAAGACCGTGCAGTCCAACCGTGCACCTACCAATCCTATCCAGAGTACGCTGGAAAATGATCCTGAGGCACAGGGCTAAGTGACTCAGATAAGCAGTGATCTGTCCCAAATCAGAGGATGTATTGCAAAATGCATCATCAGTAATTACACTCACCTTGTCCAACAGGCTGCGCCACTGCTAATTACAGCATCCTAAATTTAGGAGACCCCAATAAGACAAATATTTTCAGTACCCTCCTAGATTTGGGGGTTTTCTTCCCCCAAAGAAAAAAGCCACATCTTCTGAAATACTGCCCACACTGATCTGACACAGACTTGGAGAACAGGGGGTAAAGATTCCCACAGCAGTTCTGCACGAGGTGAAACAAGCTACTTCAGCCAGGCATTGTCAGCAGCCAGCATGCTGACACAGCTTCAGCTCTTGAAAAATGAGCACTTTTTTTTGCTATCAGCATTGGAAATTTACTCACTAGGAGATCTAAAAACAAAGTTGCTGGAAAAAGCTTGAAGTCTTCTTTAAAAGAGAAGAGTTCCACATTAAAGTTACTTGCAGGGATAGTGCATTGTGTATGAGAAATCTAGAGGCTATTTGCCTATTTATTTACAGTTCATTAACACCTTGGAGTTCCTAACTTCTTACTGCACAGGAATATTTTTAGGCTATTATGCTTTTATCTAGGTTAGCTCTGTGCCATTGGACTGGAACAGCAGCTGTTTTCTAGCAGAAAGTTCCTATTCCTGGACGTTATTTTCCAATACCTGTCAGCTAATTTTGAGCCAAGTCAGAAACAAGTGTAAGCCTATTTCAAAATGCTGATCTAAACGTGTCTAGGAGCCTTTCAAAGCACCGATAATAGGAAAAAAGTTAATCACAGATGTTAAGAGAGGCAGCAGGCACAGGGCAATATGTGATTAATTCCCCTTGTTGCAAAAGAGACTGTGCTCTCTGTAAACACAACTGACCCAGTTAGATTTTAAACCTTCATGATTTACAAGGTTTGTTTGTAAAGCATTACTGTTAGCAAGACACCTGCTGCTATCACCAGAAATGCCACGGAGCGCTCCATTAGCTTGGTATGTCAACTGTCCACACCACTTCAGTTAGTTGCAGAGCTCTACCCATCCCCTGAAAACAGCAAGTTAATAAGCAAACATACAGTAGCAGCAGCACCAGGCTGCAGCACAGTGTGGTGTGGACTGCAGCACCCTATCAGCACTGAACATTCCCTGCACTCCCCCTCATCACACAGCTCACAGCACCTGGCAAGACAGAGGCTGTAAACAGGGCCTATTCTTTAATTTCTTGCTTCCTTCTAGAGCGTCCTCTACAAACCTCCCACACCTTAAGATCAGAGCAGTAAGAATCCACAAAGCACCACAAAGTTACCTCAAGGCACTGACAGCCCATTCATGTGCCCACATCCCATTAATCACCACGGTACAGAACAGCGAGCTCTTACTTGTAATGAGAGAGTTCATGATGATATGAGTGGCCTTGGCCTTCACCACAGGTACCTTATTCACACTTTCGGTGGAAGATGAAGGAGTTATGACAGGTGCATTCATGTTAGCATCCCCTTCTTCAATCTGTGCAGAAGAAGCAGGGCGTTTTAGATCAGGAACTATCACAGCTCTTTGTCATGATGCATCTCTAAGTGCTTGAACCAGGGAGAACTGCTAGCCTTTATCCTACAGAAAAAGTCCACATGCTGTTCTAGCCTTAGCCCAGGAACACTTGAGGCCTGAATATTATTCTCAGCAGCAAACAAGTGATTGCAACCCAACATGTAAGAACACACTGAGCTCAGAGCCAGCAATGTGCTACATTTAGTACAAAGCAGTTCAACAGAAAAGAAACTAGAACGTATCTATTTGCATAACTGCAAATTGGACTGCAAGGTCAGTGGGACGAGCGCTGTTCACAGACAGTGCAGAAGCACCTGTACGTACACAGCAGTCACACACTGCTGTCTGATTGTTAGCTTCTATTTTCTCCTCATTTCTTATTCTTTCAGTTTCTTACTGAAAGGAACTAAAGCTGCACTGCTGACAGTGAGATCCCAGCAATGAAGCAGACAGTGAATGCCAGAAAACAAGGAGCCTGCTGGCACAGACTGCCTCCTCCTAACATAGGGGCTGCTGTTCCCTGACCACAGCACTTGATTTTTGTGCCAAACCACAGCTTCTGGGCTTCTTCCACAAGAAAGACGGTAAAACAAAGCATAAAGTAGAGGTTAAGCTCAAAGGAAAGCAAGGTTATTCCGCTTCTGCTCAAGCACATTCCAAATCTTCTAAACGTAAGAGCTAGCCCTGCACTCGAAGCATCCCCAAAGTCATTTGCTCTGGTTAAATTACATTCAGCTGGAGCCCGAAGCTTGCTTCGGTCACAAGTTCCCCCGCTGGCCAGAGGCCCCTCGAACACACGGCCGCCCAGACGGAGCGCGGAGCCGCTCCCAGCCCACAGCCGTGCCGAGCAGCAGCGGCCGGGCAGCGCGTACCTTGGCGAGCTCCTGGTACTTGCGCTCGGGGATGACGGGCTGCTTCCACAGCACGTTGGCGCACAAGTCGGCGGGCGGCGGCGTCATGGGCGCCGTGTCCTCCAGGGCGTCGTCGTAGCTGAAGGCCCTCCGCGGCACGCCCAGCGGCAGCGACATCCTGCCGGGCAGCGCCCCGCCGCGCCGCTCCAGCGCTGCGAACAGAGAGGCCGGCAGCGCTCAGCTCGGCGCCCGAGCCCGACCCGGGCCGCCGCGCAGCGCGGAGAGGGCCTTACCGGGGGCGTCCGGCTGCCGGGCGCTCATGGCGGCGCTGCGGTCCGCGGCGAGGCGGGACCGGCGGAATCAGCGGGACTGGCGGGCCGGCGCGGCGGGAGGCGCGGGGCGGAGCGGTGGCGCCATGTCACGGCACGGGAACGCACGACCACCGCCTCCAGAGGCGATACGTGAGTGGGCCCGCCCCCTCGTGGGAGAGCCTTTATATGCGGCCGGTCTCGCGAGATTCGGCTGTGTGCGCGGGGCATGCCGGGAGATGTAGTCGGGAACGAGGTGGGACTGAGCGGGCGAGGAGCATCGGCTCTGCACAGCACAGCCAGTCGTAGAATGGTCCGGGTTGAAAAGGACCGCAATGATCATCCAGCTTCAAGCCCCCTGCTATGTGCAGGATTGCCAACCACCAGACCAGGCTGCCCAGAGCCACATCCAGCCTGGCTTGAACGCCTCCAGGGATGGAGCATCCACAGCCTCCTAGGCAACCTGACCTCGCATTCGAGGCTGCGTGGCCGGGGGCAGCCCCAGCTGGGTGTAAAGAGTTATAGGCGTGTCCTGCCGCGGGCATCGTGGCCACCACAGCCCCGTCCTCCACCACTATACGAGCCCTCCCCGTTCCACTTAGCACCACTGGGGAGGCTCCAGACCCCACTGCCTGCCTCCCTCTTCCATAGAATCACAGAATTGCTGGGCTGGAGGGGACCTCAAAACCCACCCGACCTCAACCCTGCCGAGTGCTGGCTGCCCCCCACCGGATCAGGCTCTGCAGGGCCCCATCCCACCTGGCCCTCCAGCTGGGATGCACCTCCAGCTGCTCCAGTAGCAAATTTCTTCCTAAAGTCTCACCTAAGCCTCTTTTAGTTTAATGCCATTCCCTCTTGTCCTACTACACCATGTAAAAAAGTCAGTTCCTCCTCCCCTCCGTTCTTATAAGCTCCGTTCAAGGACCTACCAACCCTCCCCCTTCCTCTCTCCCTTTCTCTCCACCCCCTGCGGTCAGAGCGGCCCCTTTAAGCGCGGCGCTGACGCCGGGGGCGGGCACATCTGGCCATACATCTGGCTGCCTCGCACGCTGCCAGTGCCGGTACCGGTACCGCATGGCTCCGACCGGCGTCCTGCGCAACCTGACGCTGGTCCTGGGAGCCGCCGTGGTGGTGCTGGGCTCTCTGCTCTTCATCGCCTGGAAACTCTACTTCCGCGGCACCGAGCCCGCGGGCACCTGGGACAGCTGGGAGCTGCGGGAGCTGCAGGAGCGAGACCCGGCTGGTAGCACGGTAAGGGGATCCAACCCGCCGCCCTTCGGCCCGGGGGCACAGCGGCGGGGCTGTCCTTCGCTGGGATCCCCATGGGGATGGGGAAGGGCACGGGGCGGGGGCTCATTCCCCGTGGTGCTGAAGCTGCTAGATCTGAAGTCCCCGCCCAGAGCCCACTTAGTTGGAGAAGGGGGCTTGGGGTGGGGGTATCAATGGGACCCCCCAAGCCCTTCCTGTGTAGCAAGGGGGCTCGGTGGCCGGAACCCCCCGGTTTGGGAATGGATGTGTGGGATCTGGGGGCCGGTGGGACCCTTTGCTTCAGTCCGACTCCCAAGCAGCCTCACTCTGTCCTGCTGCTCGCAGGCGGTGTGGAAGCAGGTGCTGGTGCTGGGGCTGGACGGCGCAGGGAAGAGCAGCGTCCTGCACTACATCTGCAGCCAGAAGGCCAGGACACGCATCTCACCCACACTGGGCTTCAATTCTGCCCAGCTGCGCGTCGGGGGGCTGGAGATGGACCTGCTGGAGGGTAAGGCAGGCCCCTCTTTCCCCGTGGGGACACAGCATTCCCCCACACTGGCACTGACGCTGCCCATCTCCCACAGTGGGTGGCAGCTACAACCTGCGGGCGTATTGGCCGCTCTACCTGAGCGATGCCCACGTGCTGGTGTTCGTGGTGGACTCGGTGGACAGGTCACGCCTGCTGACCGCACGCCAGGAGCTGCACACGCTGCTGGCTGAGGAGCCCCGGCTGCCGCTGGTTGTGCTGGCCAACAAACAGGTGGGTGCCTCCCAGCGCTGACTGCAGCCAAACCAACCCTCCCGAGGGCCTCAAGTGCAAATCCTTATGACCCAAATCCCCCGGCTTTTGCAAAACCTGCTCTCTCAGTGCCCACATCCTCCAGACATTATCACAAGTGTGGGCGCTGCTCCTCTTGCCCCAGCAAAGAAGTTTCAGGAGTGCAGCACGCAGAAACTCAAAGGGGAAATCCATTGCCCAGGCAGACGGCCAAGCGCATGCCTGCTGCTGTTTCCCATTCGGTTCCGCTGCAAGAGCAAGCAATCCCTGCTAGGGCTGCACGGCCGGACGGGTTCTTGCCAACCGGCAACCGGCTCAGCAGACACTGTGCTGCTCCCCGCCCATGGGCTTGTGGCCACACCACCCTCTTCAGCCAGCTCCTCTCTGCCCACAGGATAAGAGTGATGCCCTAAGCACGGAGGAGCTGCGGGAGGAGCTGGCCCTGCACTTGCTCAGCGGGCAGCGGGAGCTCTTCCTCCTGCCCACCAGTGCGACGTGGGCTAGTCTGAGCACGGCCACCAGCGTCCTGCACGTGAAGAGCCTGCTGGTCACCCTGTTGTCCCAGCCCTGAGCGGACAGGCTCCCACTGGGATGGAGGGAGCTGCTGGAGCTGGGACTGCGCCCTGCGATGTTTGGGGTTGGGCTGACACATGGCTGCATGCAGGATGTGAGCAGTGGGCTCTGCTCTCTGCCACAGGGAGAAGGCAGATGCGTCCCCCAGTTCAGGGCAGCAAAAGCACGGGGCAGAGCTCTGCACCTTACATAACAGCCCCACAGAATACTGAACAAATGGGGCTGAACCCAGCTTGCTGTCCGGATGGAAGCCCATAAGGTGGGCATGAGGCGCAGAGCAGTGTGAAACCATAAGGAAGCTCTTGGAAAGCTGAAGCAATCCTTTCCCTGCTGTTATGGCAGCGGGGTCTGGACTCACGATGCCCCTGCCCCCTGCAGGGCACCCTGGAGCTGATGTGGCTGATGCAGCCCCCTCCCTGCTCACACAGGAAGAGATGAGCCCACAGTGCTTACCCAGGGGAAGAAACAGCCCCTCTGCCTGCAGCAGAGTTCTCGGCTTTCCTGCGGATGAAGGCCACGTGGGCTCTCCTTCCTGACAAACACACCAAGCCACGTGATGCTGCCCTGTAGCCCAGGCTGGTCTGATGCACAGCCATAGGCAGGAGCCCCTCACCTGAGCTGGACACAGCTTGCCCTTCCCCAAGCAAGGGGATTATTTTATGTATTTAAAAGCCTGTTGAGCAGAGATGAAAGCAGGTACCTGGCACCCTGCTCTGCTTCCCCTGCTTCATCCTGAACAGGGGTTATGAGTGTGCTGTTTGCTCTGCTGCCTGTTCCATCCTTGTCTCAGGAGCTGCAGAAAGCCCTGTCTGCAGGAGAAAAGGCTACTTCATCAGGACAAAGGTCTGGGCCCTTGGAAACTGACAGAGGAAATGGGGAAGCACTTGGGGTAAGGAAATACATGCCAGCTGGTCTCTGCTGTGAAACCTTTTATACAGTTGCTCCTTCCTCTTATGAATAAATGAGGCTGATGACTCGGCTCTGTTCTCTGGCTCCTTGCGGCAAAGGGGCCATCAGCCCAGGCTCCCCGAACTGAAGGCAAAGAGGTTGCTTTGGGGGAAGCAGCCCCTGCTGCTTACAAGGAAATCAGCAAGGGCTCTGCCTACCCCCTGCAGTCGCCAGCCCCACACCCACAGAGGGTAATGCATATCTGCTGCCTGTGTCCTACACATCAGTGCCAAGAGCTCTAACAGGAATGGAAGCCCACAGGCAAAACATTCCCACCAGCATGAAGCAGTAATTTATTTTAACAAGGTGGAAAAAGTGCTGGCTTGCACTCAGAAAAAAGGGAGTGGCATGGCACATTCAGTCTGCATGCCACAAGCCTCAGTCAAGAGTCTTTTGTGCCTGCTTATAACTCTGTCCAATGAAGGCCCTTCCTCCATCACCAGAAGCTTTGCACAGCTCAGCCTACCCAGAAGCCACAGCCGACAAGTGACAGTCACCTGCCTGTGGTTCACAAACGGTGCACCAAGTCTGTGCTTGCAGGCAAACTGGAGGACAAAAAGGGGCAGTCACTGCACATCCATCTTCTCCTGCTTGAGTGATGCAACAAAATCCTTGTACTCCTCAGGATAAAAATTTTTGTACACACCGATCTTCCTCTTGATCTGTTTGGGAGTGTCCTGGTAGTAGTTCTTTTCATCACGAGCCATTTCCTGTGACAAAGCCGAGAATACATCAGAGGAACAGCAAACACGGATCTGCACGGCCACGCTCCAGGCAGGCTGCAGCCGGTGCCTGCCAGGTTCTGGCTGAGGTTCAAAGCACTATTTCCACTTAGAAATCAGCTGACCACAAACCAAGATCCAGGGCAGGGATGTGTGGCAACTCTCACCATGCAGAAGAGCCAGAAGCGAGCTGTTCCTGGCTTTGAGGCACCCAGTGCTTACCTTGTAGTTCTCCCCATGGTTCTGTATCATGTACCGCACATAGTCAATGAGGTCTCTTGAGAGCGTATTTGACTTCTTCTCAGGAAGACTGGCCTCAAATTCCATCTCTAGGCAGAAGGTAGAGGCACTGTGATGCAGGCAGGCAGGGGAGGGAGGGAAGCAGCACCTCCCTGAGTTGAGCCTCTGCGGCACAGCTCTGTGCCTGCATGCTGCACTGCTGCCCAGCACAACCGAGCAGGAAAATGAATGAGACAGTGAGGAGAATGAACGAACGCTGCAGGCACACAGCCCTGCAGCTCACACTGTGAGGAAGGAGTGGAGATGCTGCCACCCCTGCTGTGGTGTGTGACTGCTAACGCACTGCTGTTGCACTTAGAGTAGGGCAGCCACAGGTTCTTGTCTCACTGGTGTGGGACATCATTGAGTTTGGACTCAGAATTACAAGATGCCCACTGAGGCAGCAGGTGGAAAAAGGCAGCACAGGAGAGAAAGGAAACTGACAGGACAGGACAGGCTGGGAAGAAGAGCTGTTTTTGTTCCAGCTCAGCTCCAGCCTGGCTGGGAACCTGCTGTGCACACTCACAAGCCTTCATAGAATCACAGAATGGCCAGGGTTGGAAGGGACCTCAAGGATCATGAATCTCCAACCCCCCTGCCACATGCATGGCCACCAACCGCCACGTTTAATGCTAAACCAGGCTGCCCAGGGCCCCATTCCAACCTGGCCTTGAACATCTCCAAGGACGGAGCATCCACAACCTCTCTGGGCAGCCTGTTCCAGTAATGGCCTTAAAACAACTGCATCAGAGTTTGTATGAGAACTAACAGCTTTCCCGACCCGAGCCCCTCACAGCGCAGCACTGACCGCTCAGGACGTAGGGCTTCCGCACCAGCATCTTCTCCTGCTCCTGTCCATCACTCTCCGTCTCCATTCTCTGCATTGAGAGAAAAAGCACCTCGAGAAAAGTGCGTTTGGAGAGGGCTGCCAACACGTTACTTCCGCAGATCTGAAAGGCCCACGGACCGGGACATCTCCCACGTCTAAAATAAAGCTTTTTTTTCCCGTATTTCCCCATTTAGCTCAGACCACAGACGCGCCCACGAGAGCCCGTCCCGCCCGCGCTCACCTGCAGACGCCTCTTGGCGATGGGGACGGCCTTGTTGGGGTCCCCGGCCAGGCCCATCTCGGCCAGGTTCTGCGCCACCGACTTGGTCGCGTCCCAGGCATGGCGGATGTGTGAGCTGCACGGGGACAGGCACGGCTTAGGGGCTGCGATCACCGCCCCGCGCGGTGCGTGCGCGCCCCCCGGACCCGCGCAGACCGCGCCCCCTTGCCCTCACCACTCGATGCGCGGTGCGGCTTTGCGTCTGGCGCTGCGGTACAGCCGCTTGCGGTTGAGGCCGTAAGCGAACTTTTGCCGCCGGTTCTTCCCTTTGGCCTTCGGCATGGCTGCTCCACGCCGCCGTCGGGCCGCACCGCTGGGCCGGGCCTCGCCGCGAGGCACCACGGGAAGCGGAGTCTCGCGTGAGGGAACAGCCGCGGTGCCGCCCCAGCCGCGAACTACAGCTCCCGGCATACCCCGCGGCGGGGTCACGTGTCTCTGCCGGGAGCCGGCCTACGGCGGGCAGGAAGGGTCGCACCGTTCGCTGTCCCCGCGGCCGCAGCCATGGCGGCCGGCTCTCCCCCGCCCTTGGAACCCATCCCGATGCCGGTGTACCGCGATGAGGGCTTCGCGGACAAGTTCCGGCGCAAGACGCGCGAGAACCCGCTGGTGCCCCTCGGTGAGGGCCCGGAAGGGCGCTAAGTCCCGGCAGCTGGGGGTGGGCGCTGCTCCCTGCGGGGCTTCGGGGAGACGGGGGCAGGGGGGGACTGGGGCTGGGTCGCACTCGTCTCAGTGTCCGTTCGTCTGTCTGTCCGTCTGTCTGTCCGTCCGTCCCCCACAGGCTGTCTCTGCACCCTGGGCGTGCTGACCTACGGCCTCATCAGCTTCAAGAGGGGCAACACGCGCCACTCGCAGCTGATGATGCGGGCGCGAGTCATGGCTCAGGGCTTCACCATCGCGGCTCTGCTGGGCGGCATGGTGGCCACCGCCCTCAAGGCCAGGAGCTGAGCGCGAGGAGCGGCACGGCTGGAGGACCGGCGCTGCCTGCGGACGTGAGACGGCTGCGGTGCGTTGGAGCCGGTGTCGGAGATGCTGCTCGTCACATAGCGTCGAAGTGTGGCTAATATACCTCTGCTGATAACCTCACGTTTGGGCTGCGGTGATTCTTTGATTCCCTGAGATTCCCGTGTCTGCTGTCACCACCTGCTGAAATTGGCTCCTCTGTTGCTTGGTGGTGCCTCTCCACACCGAGGTGTGGCTTTAATCAGGCTATGTAAAAGCAGTTGAGAAATGCGTTGCTTGGGTGGGAAGGAATGGCTCCATTTGTGGTTTGATCTGGGCAGGGCAGAGTTCATAATCAGTGCATGAGTTATTTGGGGAGAAGGTGCAATCCGTCCAGCTGCAGCCGATGAGTAACAAAGTGAATTGCAGCAAAGGTGCTGAGCAATACGGGATTGCAGAGCACTGCGGAGTCAAGAAAGTCAGCAGTGTGAGAGGAGTGGGTGCTGCTGCCTCCTGGCTGTGGTTAGGTCATAACTAGGACACGAGGTGTAACACCTGTGCAAACAGTGTGGGAATTTGGGTTCCCGAACAGACTGCATTCTCCAGAATGCACTGATATTTAGCTGCTTTTACTGAAAGGTCACTTCTGCACAACTTGCTGCATCGCATGAGTTGGGACCAACTGCTGGGCAAGATCCCATTCCCAGAAGGAGCTGTTTCCCTCAGTTTGGCAAACATCTTCACAGGTGGCCCTGAGTGCCACAGTTTACATTATTTCCCAGCACCAAGGGAACCCACACAGCCTGCTGTGGGGAACGCGCCCAGGCTGCTCTTCACTTTCTTCATTAGCTGCTTTGTAAATCTTTCCCAGAAGCTTTGCTGCCAGCCTGGACAACTGTGGGCAGGGTGTGTGTGGAGGAACTGCTGTGCAGACTTGTGAGCTTGGCCCATTGGCAAAGCCGTTTGCAGCCAAAGACAGGAGTTCCACAGGACAGGAAGCTGCTTGAATGGCTGCTGTGGTGCAGGAGGCTCAGGAGCAGCTTGCCCAAGTCTGCTCAGCATGTCTGGGTAAGCACACATGCCTGTGGTCAGAGCACAGCAGCTACACTCTCATCCTGCTGCTGCTGCTTGTCTCAGCTCAGAGCAAACCGTGTAGCCCTAGGACGTGGTTCTACAGCACTGTCCTTTCTGCAGGCTTTGCAGGTACGGATTCTCCTAAGTGCACATGCTGAAGGATAAAGACAACAGTGCCTTGTAGGGTCAGTTTGGAGATGTCGGTTTATTGTAACAGGTGATTTGAACAGTCACATATACCAAAGCCAAAGGGATGTAGAACAGCAGTGGGCACTGCTCCCCAAGAAGCCCTGCCCAACATAGAGTGCATGGCAGCCAGGGGACTGCAGAGCCTGGCTACCTGCTAGGACTGCAGGCCCAGAGCGCATCCAGAGGCTCTTCTATCTGCTCTGCAAAGAAAGGCAGATACAGGCAGCCAGATCCCTGGGTCCATCCTGCACCACAGCAGAGATGCCTATATGTGCTGCGATGCAGGGACACAGAGGAGGAGTGATCAGCCATACAGACAAGGGGCACGATTCCAGCACAAGACACAATTATTCCTACACACCCATTCCCTTTTCCAGCCCACTACCAAAGATGACAGCATTCTCCAGGCCTGTCAGGCAGCTGCAGAGCTACTACTGTGCCTATGAGCCTGTGCCTATGCAGCAAGAGGGCAGACAACCTTGATTTGTGAAGCTGTCACTGCAAAAGAGCTGTATGTGCTGAATTTACTGGTGGAGCAGGGCTCTGCAGCAAAACTTTGACGAATGGTTTATGCTCTCTGCTCCATGTCCTCTCAGACTGTTGCTGCAGGCCCTTCCCCAATCCACAACAGGCCGGTCCTAGAGCACAAGCTCACAGAAGCTGCTCTGCTGCAAGGTGTAAGCAGACCTTATCAACATTCCTACAGCTAACCAGTTCTGCGGGTTTCCAGGGCTGGGGCTCAGAGCCAGAGGGGCTGGTGCCAGTCCTGCCAAGCGAGGAGAGAAAGCAGGTGTTTGGGCTGGAAAGTTCACCTGATGAGGCAATGAGCAGGACCTGCAACTTGCCATGCTGCCTTTGGTGTGCAAATCCAGTGGCACGTGGGCCAAACTGAAGCCACAGAGCAGCTGTCCAGCTGCAGACAGATGTGTGATTTGTTCTCCAGGGACAGCAAAAGCCGTAGGACCAAACCTCTGCCTAATCCTGTTATGGGCCTCTGGGTGAGGGAGCTGGAGGTTTGACTCGTCCCACAGCAGCTGGACCTTGCCACCTGCTTCCCTACAGCCATACAGCCTCCAGCTGCCTCCCTCGAAATAGGAGAAGGCACAAAACAGAGCCAAGGGCCCCCAAAGCTGAGCACTCCATCTTCCCAACAGCCAGTGGCCTTGTAGGAGAGTCAAGAAGCTTCCTGCATGCTTGTCCTGTGGCCTCTTTTCAGCACCCTGCACCACAGAGCTGTCTGCCAAGAGCAGCCCCACAGACAGCCAGGATATCAATACTGCAACTGCCAGCTTTTTGGGATGCATGGCCAGGTCAAGTGCCCACACTCACCCCTCCGTCCCCACCAGCCCTGTGGCATCATGCTGCTGCCATGCTCCCTGTAGGATCTTGTGTTGTGGAGATGAGTTTAGGCTGTTGCTCAACCCCAACCCTACAGCCAGTTCTGCTCTAAAACCCCCACAGGAGGGCAGAAAGGAACCAAGGTCCCCCCACTATCTCTGCCCCAGGGTTAGGACCCAATCCCAGACAAAGGGCTGTCATGCCACAGGCAGGAGGTGGGCAAGTTTGCTCTGAGTGCAGCCCTGGATGAGATGGAGGACACCGAGTAGGAGGTGTTCTCTTTCTCACCCTGCCAGGCAGCGGGGCGTGACTCTGGCTGGAGGCTCCTCTGCTAACTCAGCTCTGCCACCCAGTGTCGCTTCCCAGGGAAATGCCACAGTAATAAATAAGTGTAAAAAGAGACCAATGAACCTTTTAAGCAAAGGAAAACCATGGGGAGAGTTACAACCATTGATTTGAGCACAGCCAAGGTGCACACCAGAGACCAGAGGGCAGGCAGGGCATAGGCCCCTTGTGTGGGCTGACCCCGTGAAGCCATCTGCCTTGGTGAGCAGCAAGGCAAGGGGAAGGGCCTTGCCCTGCTGCACTCCTGGCTGTGCCAGCTGGCAGCTAGCGGGACAGGGGTGTCTGTTTGAGGGAGATGAGCACCGAGCGCATCCGTGAGACATCCTTGCTTTGCTTGCTGCTCTTAGGGTTGAAGTCGCAGAGCTGGGCCACCTTCTCCCACTCTGAGCCTGGGGTTTCCTCCTTGGACTCCTTCAGGAATGCTTCCTCCGAGGCCCTGCAGACATGTTGAGGGTTGGGCTGTCACTGGCAGAACTCTTTCCGAGAAGACCCTCCCCTCTGGGAACCCATCGCATCCCCATTTCCTGTCTCACTGCTCCAGACAATGAACTCAGCATCCTCTAGGATCCAGAGATCTGGGATGGTCAAGGCTGCTGCTGGCTGCACTCATCTAAGACAACGTTCATCCAGAAGCAGGGGGGCGTCTGCCTGCTCTCAAGACTTCTCCATCCCCAGGACACTCCCTTAAAAGCCCTAAACTCCACAGCTTTGTCTCTTAAACCAGCTCTACCGGGGGGCAATTTCAAGAGCTCTGCTTGCTTCCTAAGCATTTGGAGGTGCTCAGCTGAAGCACTCTCCCTCTGGAATCTCACCAGGGCCCAGCACCTCCCAGCATCCCCCCTTTCCTTGACTGGGCAGCCAAAGTGCTGAGGCAAGGACCCCAGACCGTGCAGGGCAGAATATGGTCTGTAAGGCACACATACACATAGCCAATCACATCGGCGTCCGGCTGCTGGTAAAAGGCTTTGTCAGCGATCCTAGCCCCGAGGCACAGACAGAGAGAGAACGCAGAGCAGACAGGTAGGCAGAGGGTTAGAAAGAGAGAAACAGAGTGGGGGTTAGCATCCTCCCACAGACCCATTCATCATGCCACACACAGCATCAGAAAAACCTGCCAGCAACAGCAGGGCTGCATAGCTTCCCAACCCCTCCCACACATGGGACAGGAGTCCCTCAAATCCCACTGTGTTCCCCCAGCCTTCAGCTGGGACCAGAGCAGTTCTGAAGAGCCACCAGAGCTGCCCGGACTACTGGGGCATGGTCTGGCAAAGCCCTGCCTGTGCAAGGCTGGGTCCACTGTGGAGACAGAGCTCCCTGGTTACTACAGGAAGGCACATCTAGCTGCAACAGCTGCTCCCACTGAGCCCTGCCAGTCTCAGCCCTAGAGGCCATGCAACATACCTGTTGTTTGCTCGGTTCTTCTCCATTTGCTCATTCTGACGCAGGTTCCACTCCTCCAGGTCCTTTTTGGCCTTCTCACGCCATTCCTGCTCGGTCACTTTCGATGCTGCATCTAAGACCAGGGTGAGACAGACCCCATCAGACAGACTGGCACCCACTGACACCCCAGACTTGTTCCCAGCCCCCACTAGAACATTCTCTGAAAGGTGTCACTGCCTCCACAGACAGATTTTTGGTGGGGGCCCCCACTTGGCATGAGGCAAAAGGCACATGTTGGGTGCAGCAGGACCACTATTAGGCAAGGGATCCCAAGGACCTCAATCACCACGTCCTGTGGTGCAACTAGCGTGGCCACACACAGCCTTGGGTCTCACCCAGCTCCTCCAGGCGCTTCTTCTGCTCCTCCCTCCATTTGCGGATGCTCTCAGGTTCCTGGGTCAGCCGATCAGCCTTGGCTATGGCTGCGTAGGCATCTGTGGGGCCGTTGGACTCCTGCAGGATGCAAACACCTCGCCATTAGCATCAGCTCCTCACACAGCCCGGCCCAGCCTTCTCAGTGGGCTGACAACACTGAACAGGACTCCAGGCTCCCAGCACCAAGACAAGATATGTAGAGTTGGTGACAGCCCAGTACAGTTGTCAGTGCTTCAAAGCAGTGCTCAAACTGTGGTCCCAGCCCCAAGAATGAGTGCCATCTTAGGCTGGGCCTCAACAGACAGAACGAGCCCAAGTGAGGCAGGGCCCATGAGAACACCACCCTGTGCTGCAGCCCACAGGCAGGAGCCTCTTGTGGTTCT